CATCCTGATGAATATAATAGACTTAAACGAAATGTGAAAGCTGATTACTCGTCTAGACCTACAGAATCAGTTTGCCAGCAGGCACAGTGACGCGTTCTAAATTTGCATAATCGAGCACGGAAAACAAGCCGCCTTCACGGAACTCGTTGATAAACACGGCCGAGATTTACGTGTATATAAATCAGCATTTTTTTCAAACGTTCTACAATAGCACGATAATGTTCTGAGTATCGGTAATTCTGAACATCATTACTTTAACATTGAGATTAAGATTGAAACTTAGATCAGACTACAGGCAGTGCAGGGGACTCCGAAACCAAAGCAGCATTTGATGATATACAAATGACGCTGTACAAACGCAACTTTAGACTGCTACAAAATGTGTAAATTGATAAGGTTAAACACAAAATAAAGGAATTTACGCTGTACCCTAATAGACCACCTTCCCGGAAATAGTAAAACTGGGATGCAGAAGTACTTCTGCTCATGCTCACGCCGTATCGTTCACTTCCAGGAAAGTGGTCTATAATTTCTCTGTACAATGCACTCAAACGTAAATTCTGATATTTTGTGAATCATGCGCAGAATTAGGGGAGGCGCGGACAGCAACAGTTTTTTACAAATTTATTCATCTTACATCTACTATAAACATTTCCAGCTGTGTAATCTCTATTCGGTTAGATATTTAAGGCAGTTTGAGCCCAAATCAAATTTTTCAATATTGAGTATGTAATACAACTGTACATATTAAGCATTATTATACATCTGTCACCGTAACGCCATAAGTTACAGCGTGCCGTAATTTAGCGATATTTTACTGGATATTTTCATCCTACCATATAATGAAATGCGAATTAGAAATATGGAATGATTACGCGCGCAAGCGCCCTCTAATAATAAAAACAAACATGGCTGCCACCATGGTTTGACTGGACTCCACACAAAGAAGTTTGCTAATTCTGTACTAAACTTTTTGGATTTCGGCATTCCCATTCCCATGATTTCGGCATACTCAGAGAGCTGCGCGTCGGTCGATACTCCCGCTGTACTATCTTCGTGCATACTTTGAGGTGTCCTCGTAATAACCTCATAGTATACAAAAGGACTGTTTATATTATAAATATATTATCATACTGGAAAATGACTACATTATATGTCAATTGTTTTAGAACTATACATATATTCAATGCATTATACATGAGAACTACGCATGGTATATGATAAAAAAACTATCATATCGGAAAGTGTCTACATTATAAGTCAATTGTTTTTAAATGTTTTAACGATACTAGAATTCGTATTAATATGGCACCGGACAAAATTTCGAGAAAAGTATCACCATAGAAATTTTTATAATTTAACATGAAAGTGTGATTAAAATTATTTAATTTGATACAAACCTCAAGACCGTTTATTAGGTTTCAAGGCAGAAACGCAGTGATATGTTGGTACAGATATACACAAATTGAATACAGCCACGTAGATCGCTAGATTCATACTAAATTTGTTGTACATATCTTCTCAGAATAACACCTTGTACCGTTTATTAAGATGTTTTGAGAAATTTACTTTGGAAGTGACGAACTATTTGATAAACACCAACGAATCGTCTTTCATCACAACCACGGATAATTTAGGTATTTCAATTTTTGTACATTAGTTCTTGTTTTCGACACTTATATTGCATTTCTTAGTATAGTAAACATTAAGTATTTCAACGAATCTTCAGATGAACAAGAAATATTCGTTTATGTCACACTACATCGCCTATCATAGTCCATCATTCAAATGACTCGAAATCTATGCAACCTCAGTATATAAGCCGGTATTGAAATAAATGTAACACTGCGAGTAAGACTTCCCGTTTTCGACATTGTGAAATTTTTTCGTTTTTATGCGAAAAAATACAGTATATTTACTAAAGTTTTTGTTCATGCATGAGTTGATTATCACTACATAGTTTGTAATTTCATGCAGCTTCTTTCAGTCATAATTCAAGACAAATAATAGCAAAAATATAGAGAATGCATCAAATTATCCTTTTTCTGTAATATTCGTTTGTAATCGGTTATTACGAAAATTATTTATGGGTGCATAGAAATACATTTCGTTATGAACTATTTTTAAAATAAATTTCTGAATTGTCTTTACTCCTAAAAAACGAAAGAATGTTACAATGTCGAAAACGGAAAATCTTGATCGTAGTGTTATGTGTACCACTGTTCGTTCACAGGTGTAACTATTGTTGTATTATGTACACTAACTATAGTGCTTTTAATTTTATGTTATTGAACTTACATATGCAGATGTAGAGATTAATATACAGGATACGAATACAGCCAACACGGTAACCATTGGATCTGCTACGTCAAGTGCAACCTTTCCAGCGGAACTACTACGCACATCACGTAAGTCTCATGTCAACTCTTCAATTTCCCGCTCACTATCAGATCTCGCGTATTGAGTGAAATTCCCGAACCGAACGTCTGTCACCAAAAAATTGAGTTATTTGATTTTGAACATAATTTTTCTTTTTTATAGCTCAATGTCTGATCTTTCAGAAGGAAGTATGGCATTTCGATATCCTACTTCAACAGAATTGACCATTATTATATGTGTGTATAAACACATTATTAGGTGTTAAAACGCGATGTTTGGAGGCCACTGCGGCGTTATGACCTTCGTTGATCCTATTTTTACGTTCGAACTCTTACTGAACGGAAAATGGTCTATTTCACAAATGCTACATTGGTCAAAATACCATCCTTCACAAAGATTAATCAATGACACTTGTGTTTGTTATAGAATCGGACAAGATTGGAGTTGTAATCACGTTGTTTCGTTCACTAAATCAAATTCTACCAGACCAAATGACATTATCAGCGTCATATGCAAAGCTCGGAAGTGACGTCATTTCCGTTTCCCAGTACCCTAGCCTTCCTACGCCATTTGCTGCTCCGGTCATTTTGAATATCACTTTGAGTAAGGTAGGTCCAAAGAACTGAATCGGACATACTATAGACTAACCCTCGTGGTTTCTGCAGCTCATAAAGTACATCGATATTACCCATGCTCGAAGAACTATTTTTAATACGGGCAATTGTCTTGATATAATGAACGAATAACTGATAAAGCACGACCGGTGATTTCTCGTACTTTCAAATCTACTCTGCACTCTATTAGTATGCACAACTCAGTGTGCATTCACGTTTAAATAGTTTGCCTAATCCAGTAAAGATCCCACGAGGTGATTGTGTTGTTTGATAAGAGGTGACATAGTCGCTACGTTGCATAAAAACTAATGAATGTATCGACGCCCCTTCTTTACTTAACCGCCTAGTATGCTTAGTGGGACTACTAAAAACAAGTATGAACATTCCTGTCTATGTTATTAGCCTTATAATGGTATTAGGACGGTCTGCTACTATAGCAACAAACGAATTAGGTAATAGACACCTTCAAAGCACATTACTCTAAAACTCGTGCATTTTGTTAAAGCGGAGAAGTCGTCACCTGCGCATGCGTCAGATGGCCATAGCGTGTCATTGTTTACAAACAATCGTCTACCCATGCGTTTTTAGCGTCTGGTGTTATTGTCGCTTGGGACTCAATTCCCGCGCGTGCGCAGTGACGACCCTCCCGCTTTAAGTTCACATAAGTAACACGTGATGTGAAAGGCTGGATGTATATAACTGTTCGTACGTTACTAATCCGATGCAATGTCAATGTCTTATATTGTCCATATCAGAATCTTCCTATTGAGAAAACTGTCTGCGGTTTTATGAACTTTAAGAGTAGGACAAGGTAAACACAGAGTTTAATGTTTGCACTCCACTATTTGCACGCACTTAGTTTGATTTCAAAATACAATTTTTCATTTCGAATTAGAATGACGTATTCTTACTTACATTATTATACGCCTAGATCAGTAAACTGTGAGCTAAACATTACATTGATTTTCGTTATTTTGCTATGACTGATCAATGGAAACACAAACCGAATATATGCCGAAGTGTACGATGAACAAGAAGGTAAATTCCGGTATTTTGTTAATAGTCTTTTTTATTATTTTTTTTTAAAAAACCTGGAAAAAGGTCAGCTTAAAATATTGCTTTCAATGCTAGTTTGCCACCAGACGCGTTAGTGTTCGAAATTTTGAACGCACCACGCGTGCGCACCTCGCTGGCGCAAATTTTGAGCATCGGTTCTACTCGATAAGAAGGGCCGTAATTTCATCCTTATGTTTTGAAATTCATAAAGGCCATAAAAGCTGTCCAGCAGTTTCATTTGTGCAGTCATGCTACGAATGTCTTAAGAAAGTATTATAACCACAAGATGCGAACAACTTGAAAGATCAGCGGCCGGGATACTGTGGCGTCTTGACGACATTCGTTGATAACTACTGCGGCAAGTTACTCATATATAAATGAGTGCTTCAATCCTAATCATTATGCGCCCGAACATTTAAATTCAGATTGAGGTTGTAACAGTCGTTCACAGGTGTTGCGGGGGGCGCTAAAGCCGAACACACAACTTTTGACTGCTTTTTTTCGTTTTCTAAATTTATCAACATAAGTCGTATAATAACAAAGTTATAAACAAAATACCGGTATTTGCGTTCTCGTGCATCGTACGTTACGGCATTGTCCGAGATGCTTCGCGAATTGTGAATAACCTCTTACTATTTGATCTTATTTTCTTCTTACATTGATAATGAAACAAGCACCTTATCGATCTAATCTGGTTTGTTTTCAGTTTGTGGCACACCACAGGGACTAGCATTGTGACTCAAACAAATGAGTTCGCTATCTGCAGTACGGAACATCTAACAAGTTTTGCGTTGCTTGTGCAATTGACGTCATACCGGGTAAACATATACACTGCAAACAATGTATAGTCGTTTAAACATTAGAAGTTTGGTCAAGAAATTATTTACTTTCCTCACTTCGCACGTACGATGATGGGAATATAATTTCAATATAATTCAATACAAATAAGATAACTTATCGATTTATATATAGACAATGTAAAAGACGCTAGAAATCTTAACCGACTGTCAGTAACGCAATGACGTCACAAGGAAAATTGAAACGAGTTGCACACGAAAAGGTGCTTAAATTACATAGTGATTGTTGCGTCTATTTAAGATTGTCAGATGTATCCAAACCAAAGCGTCGCCACCTATTTATTAGAAAACGTCAACGACCTGGCTCAGTATTATTTTCAAGTTGAAATTATTTGACAATTTTTTAAATAACACGAGATTTACTATACATAATTCATATCATAATCACCATTGTTGATTTTACAGTTCAGTGCAAGACATCGACAAGCATTGGAACTCATTACTGTGATTGGTTGTTCCATATCTTTAGTTTGTCTTTTATGTACGTTCGGATCGTTGATATATTTCAGGTAAAGATGAGCGTATGTACTACATAGAAATACCATGTAAACAAACAATCCACTGATAAAAAGAAATACTAGTAACCCAAAACATGCACGGAGTATAACACACACATGTACACAGGAACTTGTCAGTGAAAACGTTTATCTTGCTATCAATACAAGCCATGTGACTAATTGGTTTTGCTTCACTGAATGTCACTGTAAAAGGGGTCTGTGACCAACGCTATTTAAATCTAGTTAAATTTAAGTGGAGGAATACTCCCTCCCCTTTGCAAGTGATGTAAAAGATGCACAGTACATTAATAAGAAACACACGTTTATTCCAATGGATACATTTACGTGACGTGAATGACGATCACAAGTTTTCGTCAGTTCAGTTTGAGATTATAGGTTTATAATTTATTTTTATTGTTATCCACGTGGATCCGGATATCCATGTTATTATCACATCATTATTTGTACTCAATCTTGTCAGTCATATCATGTGATAGCCCCCATGACAGCGCTAGTAGACAATCGGCAAGGATACTTTCATTTGTAGGCAAGGCTTATGAGTAGGCAGTGTTAATAGTTGGTATACATTAGACAATAATTTGTTGATATGGGGATTGTGTTTACTTTTATAGTACTATAATTAAAGCAGCCAATGTACAAGTAGCTAACACCACGGGGCTACGGGAGTTCTCAGTTCCGTGGTGTGTTCTACAGTTCACTTGATTTTATTTTGTACAAACACTCTGTAAATTACTTGAACACTGCTGAACAGACACCGATATATATGTTAAAATTACACATATTACAAACCGCAGTTGAGAAAATGAAATGTGTGTCTACGTTAGATGATGTGCACAATACCGTGATACACCTGTACTACAACATACCATTTGCGCATGTCTGAAGCGCATACTATTTTTTGTTTGATTACGTCACCGTACTGTATGTATTGTTCTTTCGTTGTTGGTTTCTCGCACGCACGATTATCGAAAATTGACATCAAGTGTACTACGATATTCATGATTATTTTAGTGATTAATAATCTGCGAATTTCTCTGACATACTCAAAATACACATGGCACTGTAATTTGTTTATTTGAACAACGTTTTAATTGCATTTATTTACAGATTACATTCCGAACGAATCATCATTCTACACAACCTTGTTCTAATGCTGGCGTTTGCGCAGCTTATGTTCCTGGTATCAGGCCTGATTACTCACGACACGGTATGTGTTGCATAATGTTATTACGAGATCATATCGAGTGACGCGTAGCGGAAGTGGATACGATCCCGTATGGACTTTGACTTATTCTTCTGACAACCTTTTTATAATAATATCTTTTTTTGTACATGATGTTTAGTATAAAATTTAGATGCTTCGTCTGATATTAACAAACGACATATTCGAATGTGATGTAAATACGACACCCTTTTACCAAATAAGGATATCATTCGATCGCGTCCGTAACACTTTCGAACACGTTCATACGATAACAGATGATGTTATGGGTTTCGTTGTCAGATGTATAATATGAGCTTATTACGAGGATACCTCATAGTGTGTACGAAGACAGTACAGCGGAAGTATCGACCGACGCGCAGCGGAGGTCGATGCGACGGCGTACTGTTTGAGTGGGAATGCCGAAATCCAAAATGTATAAAACAGAATCAGCGAACTTCTGTAAGTTGAGTCCAGTCAAACCCTGGTGGCAGCAATGTTTGTTTTTGTTATTAGTCATTCAATATTTGGCATTCGCATTTCATTGTATGGTAGAATGAAAATACCCCCTAAAATACCGCAAAATTACAGCACGCTGTAACGTATGGCGTTACAGTGACAGGTGTATAATAATAAACAAAATATGTTGTTGTATATCTCAGAATACCTGCTCAAATCACGACCAAGACAACTGCCATATAATTAAATATCTCTCATGTATATTTAAATCCATGAATAAATTTACGAAATCTACGTTTCGAGTTCAGAAATAGTGCAGAGTTGGATCATATAGGTTCATGAATATTCAATTGACTATTTTGTTACTGCCTTGTAATGCTAGTGCAATACAATGCGTCTAATGTATTGAGTGCCAGTAGTTTTTTTTTCAATTGTATTTAAATGTTCGGCCATGCTGTGAACTTGCATTATCTTTTCTACAACGCAGCACACGATCCAATATTATCAGTATATTTTGCATATAGTGGATTGGTGGGTGGGTGAATGGAAATTGATACATTCTGATATCTCAAGGTACATTTTTCAGAGATAATCAATAGCAATCGAACTTATTTGGTAGCATATATATAAATAAATCCTCTCACAGGCTCTGGGGTAATTAGGCATATTTCGAGAAAAATATGTCATGTACATATAAAATACAAAACGATCGTTTAATATCAAATTGTTATGCTTTTTTCCAATCCCCTAAACAATATTCTTTGACTCAACTATTATTGACAACAATATATATCATGTAAGATACAACTAACTTAAGATTCAAGTTTTGTTGCGCCGATCATCCTAAACATGTCCTGGGACGTTGTATGTGTCACATTACATCACATTGCATTACATTGCATTACATTACATTGCATTGCATATATTTTGGAGCATTCTTTACTTTATTATTTGACTTTGTCTTGCAGAAAGTCTGTGCCGGGATAGCGATTTGTTTACATTATCTTTTTCTGGCTGCTTTCTTTTGGATGTTGGTTCAAGGAATACAACTCTATCTTAAAGTCAGTTCTGTATTTGCACCATCCAACAGCGTCCTGCCCTACTATTTCCTACTAGGATACGGGACGCCTGCTGTTATTGTAGGAATAACTGTAGCAACAAAACACGCTCATTACGGTAATGAGTTAATGTGAGTATTATTTTTCAATAGACCTTATATAGAAATGGCCGCCGAAATATCATTGTGAGCGAGAAAGCCGCGGGGTTTGTTTTTGCCTCCAAACTATGTTTCAAACTCAACCGCTAATGCGTCAACTGTTTCAAATAAATATTTCAGACTGCTATTACGGTAACAATTTGGAAACCCGTGGTAGTGTGTTATACTGGTCATTACTATCGCTATTGCGCATACACTGGGTTTACAGGAGCTATATCCTGATACTCAGCATTCCACGTACGAAAGCTGGTACAAGATTGGCAGTTGTTTTTCCATATACTACAAATTCAGTTATTTTCAAACATATTTGCATTATTTTCTTGGGCATAGAATTATCGAATACAATTTTCAGTTGGGTACATTATATTATTATGCATACAGGAATGCTTAGTCATACTCGGTATCTACTTGAAGTGAATTTATTCCATGCAATTATAAGCATGCCGCACCTATCCGTTCACGCCCATCGTGACCATGACTACTAATTAGTTTGACATCCTGTTGCATTGTGCATATTGATTCATGGATGACGTCAGAACTGGCAAAAGCAGAGGTATAACAATATTAATTGATGAAATTGTCGTTACTATTTTCAGTTGCTGGTTGTCAACGGAAGACGGCGTTGTTTATGCTTTTGTTGGACCAGTCATCTGCATTATTATCGTAAGTTGATTCCAGACGTTTTCACAACACAAGTCGAATTTAAATCATTTTGTTTCCTTGTAAACTTTGCCCTAGTGTCCACACTCTTGTATCTCAAACACTTTTTGTACATTTGAATATATGTTTCAGTAAATCTGTGCATATGGCCAACCAACTAAATACTATTTCCAAATCAATTCAATGTAGACTCGTACACAACACCAAGACATCACAGCATGTACAGAAACAGACAACTGAAATGCACAATATGAATAATATTCCGTCACTGACTAGTTCCTGCAAGCCACTGTTGTTGGATTTTCACTGAACATGCCTAACATTTCTATTTCTTTTCTTCCGACCCAAGTTATTATATTATCTGCTTTGAAAAATACTTGCATCTGAATTTTATATATTGTATCTATTGCAATTTGTATAAGCTTTGCGTGAATGATTGGCACTGTAGGCATCACAAGCTCCCACAGGTATTACAGTCTCTTACGCCACCAACTAGAAACGCGTACTCTGGTTATATCATATATTTATTCCATATGGTCAATCGTTACGGAATCAAAACAAGTTAGTACATCTCCAGAATATGGTTCTAAAATATACAAAACAAAATATGGAAACTATAATAGTCGAAGTAAATCAAACAATTCTCATCATAAAATGTACAGTAAATTAAATATACATTTCTCTTAATATGTGCAGAAAGTCGAGCGATACAACCAATAAATATACGGCAAATAAAATATGTAACAATAAGTAACAATGCTAACTGAAATATTTGTCAACCATTTTGACCAGCCAAAGCACACATTGCATACCATGTGCTTTATTAAACGTGTAGCTGACCACATGTACGCAATGGGCACAAAAAATGGGTGGCAAATAGTATAAATAACAAAACAATTTTCAAGAAATAAGTCTTCAAGTTAACGAATACTAACGAATACTAACATTTACAGACTTGCAATAATAACCCAAAGTAAGAGTGATAAA